CTTGTTTTTGATTTTATGGGAAAAGCAATCATTTTCACTTTTAAATGTGATGTTAGCTGTGTATATATATTGTTCTTTATTCATTTATTCATATGTGAATACAGTGTTTGGGACATTTCTCCCACCAAGCTGTTTATTTTTGAAGCTGGCTTTTACAAATCATAGAAACCTAGCCCCAATTTTCTAAGAACCTATTTCAGGACAGGATGTTGGTTAGAATATAATTTTAAATGAAAAAGTACATTACATATCTCCTAGGTTTTTATGTGTTAAGTACATATCTAATATGGTTTAAATTAGAAAAATTAATGTCAAATTTCAAATAACTCACTCCTGAGAAAAGTTTTTCCCTGAACTTGCATGGCAGTTGTTGGGTCAGACATATAGGTTTTATTCTATTTGGGCTGATGATAAAGGTACCATAAACTGGACAACTTACAAACAACAGAAGTTTATTGTTTGCAGCTCTGAAGGCTGGGATTCCAAGGCCCTGCATTCAGAGAGGCCCACGCTCGGGTTCACAGAAGGCAGCGTTGCTGCATTGCATGGTAATCACTCCCCAGAGCCCCCACCTCTTAACACTTCTGTGTTGGGCATTAATTTTAAAAAGGTGAATTTTGTGGGGACATATCCAGACCACAGCACTGCATTAGTGGTTTATTTAAGGAAATAACAGAAATATCAACAATAACAAAGCCCTAAGAACAGCCTGATAAAAATAAAAATTCTGTCTCTATAGCTGATGTTATCTTGGCAGCATGCATAAAAACTGACATCAGGCATACCAGTGAAGTCTGAGTGTTGTTTTAGCAAAACAAAGGGTATAGAAGATGTGCTGATAAGGTTATCTAGCACTCCAACCCACAACATGTGGTGTTATGATGGTTCAGGCTTCCAAGATACCCTCTCACACCACCCATGAGTTTTTTTATCCCCTATGTAGCATTTTTTTTCAATACTGGGATTTGAATTCAAGGTCTCAAGCTTGCTACGCAGGCGCCATACTGCTTGAGCTACTTTGTGAGCCCTGGGAAGGACCAGTAATTTTTTTTTTTTTTTGGTGGGAGTGGGGTTTGAACTCAGGGCTTTGTGCTTGAGAAGCAGTCACTCCAGCACTTGAGTCACATGTCTGGTCTTTTTAATCCCCGTGGAGGGTACTTGCTGCTGTTGAAAGTGATCTCGTCTCATCAAACTTGGTGATAAAAACTACAAGTGGGAGGAATTGGTCTTGATGGCTGGCAAGACTACATTTACTGTCTTAATCTCTGTCTCTCCTTCTGGGTCCTGAGGCCTTTGCTCTTACTCACACTTCCCTCAGGACCTGACTTCCAGTGGTCTGGAAGCTTCACTCGCTGTCCTAGTAGGATTGATTATAGAAATAAAATCCATGGTTCCTTGTTTTAGTCCATACATCAGTGTACACATTTAAGAAAAACTTTTCTAAGGAAAGAAAGGAAGAAGCCAAGTTTAAAAGCCACATGTCTTCAAAATACAAGTGGTAATTTGTTTGGCTAACATAGTTTACTGGATTCATATGCTGCTCCCTAAAAAGGCATATACATACATTGCAACAACATGAATGAAACTAGAGATTATTATGTTAAAAGAAATGACTTATGGACAGGAAGACAAGTATCCCATGATCCTACTCATATCTAAATCTAAAAAAAGTTGAAGTCATAGAAGTTGAGAAAAAAAAGTTGAGAACAGAATGGTGGCTACCAGAGGATGGAAAGAGTAGTGAAGAGGGAGGGATGGGAAAGGTTGGTTAATGGGTAAAAAGTTACAGTTTTAGATTGGAACAGTAAGTTCTGCTGTTGTTTGTGCCGTAAGGTGATGTAGATAACTAAATGTATTGTATATTTCAAAATGTTACAAGAAAGAATTTTGAGTATTTTCACCATTAAAAATGAAAACTAGGAAATACATGTGTTTAACCTGATTTAAATGTCACACAGTGCATACAGATGTCGGAGCATTACATATTACCTCACTAATATGTACAATTTTAATGTATCAGTTAAAAATAAGTTTTAAGAAAAAAGGGAGTATATAATACAGGGGCTTGACATTATTAATAGCAAAACAAATATTTGTGTTATTAAAAAACTTCATATTTATCTTCCTTTTTTGTGTGTAGTGTGTTTTATTGTTTGCTTTACTGATGGAATAACAGATTTTTGGTAGAATGTAATAAATAAAGGTACATATAATTAAACATGTAGGTGAGTGGAAGGCTTCTTGTTTTTAGCTTTTGGAGGTATACTTAAAAAATACAATTTTTATTTTGTGCTTTACAACTTTATTAAGGAAAAAGTATTTGTTAGGCTTTTAAAATTCGTAGAAATAAATTTAAAATGTCACACTTTTGTGCCCTTAGTTAAATAAATAACTTAAAAACTAACTCTGAGAAATATTTGCCATAAAGATCAATCTTTATAACATTATTTTACTTTCCAAAGATGTTGCTCCTGTAAGAATAGTCTTTAGGATGCCAGAAGTGTTAGAAGTTGTCTACTCCAATGCCGCCATCTTTATTCATGTGGAAGCCAAGTTCTGGTTAGAAGCAAAATGGAAGGACTGGAGCTCCCAGACAGGGACTGGAGACGCTGGGACAGAGGAGCCCTGGCCTGGCAGGGGGCTCTGTTAAGGAGCCTGGAGCTTTGAAGGAAAAACTGTGCTTAAAGAAGGAAAAGGCACTGGGGAGTGCTGGAGAAGGAGGAACTAAGAGAAAGATGTTCTAGGCACAGAAGTGGAGTTAACTTCTGAGTCTGAGCTCACCTGGGAGAGGTGCTTCCCCTTGAGTGAGGGTGGGTGGCGACCTGGGAAACAGGCACTGTCATTTCCTTAGCCCCTAATGGTATAGGAGGGCAAATCTACTCTAAAGGATAAGGAGCTGGACATAAGGTTCAGAGGCAAATGTTAGCATGGCAGCCGAATCACTGTCTTTCCTTCCTCAGTTAGAACAGAAAGTAATTGCCTCCTTAGCTGCTTGTCTGTCTCCCAACAAGCTTGTATCTAGAAGTGAAGAAGAGGCCAGGGTCTGGCCCATCAGTGTACATTTAAACTATCCTGATTCCTGTATAGAAGCTGCTGAACACTGATGTGGGAAGGGAAGGGAAGGAGAAGCAGAGGTGCTGGTATGCCTATTCTGTGTCTGTGCTCAGGCAGGCTGATCTCTATGAACCACAATCCCAGCTGGGATCAACCAATGGGAAGCCTGGGCAAGAGGGAGGTCGGAGTATTTCCTCAATCTCTCGCATAACTCCTGCCCAGGAGCCCCTTGCTAGTGACTTCCACTCTGTTGGGCTCTGTGATGGAATTTCCTCCTTTTGTCCCTGCAGGACAGTATTACTTCTTCCAGCAGCTTCCACATCCTGGTCAATTCTTTTTTTAAAGTGGAGGGATTCTAATTGCCTTCCTCCTAGCATATAATTTTGAGCAGATACTTCAGGAGTTCACATGAAACTGGCCTAGAAATCTAAATTCTTTGATATTGCTTACCTCTTCAGTCTCATGCACCATTTTTCTTCTAGACTGCCCAAACTAACACACTTATTCCAGTGTTTATTTGGAACTTGATTTCCCTAGATCTTGTTGGGCTTATCTCTTACTTTGAACTACTACCTCCTCACATATGCTTTGTCTACCATCCTGTCAGAATTATTTCCTATCTTACCCACTGTTTTTCTACACTTACACTCTCCTTTATTTTTTTCATATTACTTCTGACTACTAGAACGACAGAGTTCTGTTTGTCTACTTATAATTAGTCTTCCTCACAAGAATGTATGTTTTACAAGGCAGAGATTTACCTTTTACACTGATGTAATTCCACTGTGTGTTCATAGGAAATGGGTGTTGACTGAGGAGATAACATAAACACACAAATCACAGATGCCCACTGACCAATTTTTTTTGACCAAATTATCCAGAAAAATCACCTGAAACTGTCATTGTGTTCCTCTGCATCTGTCTTCTTGGCATCATAGAATCACTGGCTTTTCTATCTACTTTTACCTCTTTTTGGGTTGAGTGCTCAACTGAACCTTCCTTGCCTTGAAGTCTCCCCAGACATGTAATGCCACCATGTACCAATCTTCTTTGAAATGCAAACATATTTGCACATATGTTAATGATCTCACAGAGATAGGAAAGGGTTAGAAGAATATAAACTATGACTTATTTTTCCAAAAAAGAACCTGAAAGTCTAGTGCAGAATAGAAACTGCTACCACAACCTCATGAATGTTTGAGTAACCCATGAAACTCACGTAACTTCTTTTCTCCTGCTAACAGTAACTTCTGTTTTTGTCTGTGTCTCACATTTATTCACCATAATGGCTCTGTAAAATCAGAGTCTGGACAAGAGCTGGTCTAGGTGTAAAAAAATCCACTGGGTAAAATTAAATAAAAATTCTAAAGTGTGCCTCAAAGATTCTGATGTAGGAAATTTGGAGAAAGGCCTGGGTATCTCTCTTTTCAAAAACTTCCCAAGTAATTATGACACAGGCTTGTAAGACAGTGCTTTAGATAATTATCAGTCACGTCGCCTGAATGTCCATTAAAATTTTTGCACCAGTTACAATTTACTAATGGGAAATAACCAATTTAATCTGAGCTAAAAAGGTGTGCATGCTCTATTTCTCTACTAGGTTTAGGACAGAGAACATTAGGCCAGGAATGCCAAGTGAAAGAGCAAACTTAGTCAAGGTAAAAAAGTATGAAGTAAATGACTGGGTGAGTGATCTCAGATGAACAGGTAAGTAGTTACTGAAGGTTGCAGCAGGAGAAGAGTCTAAGGCAATTTAATTTAAACTACTCTCTATCAAATCCTGATTTGAAGGCAATACCCCCCTTTAAGTTGAATGTTCTTTTTTATTACTTAACAGGTATAATTTGAGTCTATGTATATAAGTTCAAATGAATAAAGCCCTACTTTTAAACTGGAATAGAAATGGGGAAAACAAATGCAGAGAAGCAGGGTCTTCTCATGAGTTCTCAGTAATTTTGAGTAGTTTTTGTGCGCATCATAATTTTTCTTAAGGCAGCCTTCACATCCTTGTTCTGGAGACTGTAGATCAGTGGGTTTACGAGTGGGGTCACTGAGGAGTAGATCAAGGTGACAATCTTCTGTGTTCCAGCTGGATTTCCAGAATTTGGGCTGATGTACATTACCATGATGGTCCTGTAGAACAGAGACACCACAACTAGGTGGGACCCACAGGTAGAGAAGGCCTTACGTCTGCCAGCTGCTGAAGGGACACAAAACACTGTCCTGAGGACCAGGATGTAGGATGCAAGGATGAAGAAGAAGGTGATGAAGATAATAAGTGAGCTCAACAAAGAGCAGGAAAGCTAATTCCAGGTGCAGGGATGCAGGATAAAGCCAGAAGAGGACCAGGGTCACAGACAAAGTGGTTAATGGTATTGGGGCCACAGAAGGGGAGTTGAGCAATAAAATAGCTAGGAACTGGATAGCAGAGAAAGGCTGTCACCCAGCACATGGACACCAAGTTTAGGCAGAACCGACTGCTCATGATGGTAGGATAGTGGAGAGGCTGGCAGATAGCCAAGTATCGATCAAAAGCCATCAGCGGCAATAAGAATGTCTCAGTGATGCCAAAGGAGAAGAAGAAGTAAAACTGGATGAAGCAGGATGTGAAAGAGATGGTTTTGGTTTCAGATAGGAAGTTTCCCAACATATTGGGAACAGTGGTGTTGATGTAGCAGATCTCCAGGAATGAGAAGTTGGCCAGCAGAAGGTACATAGGGGTATGGAGCCTGTGGTCTAGCTTCACTGCACAGACAATGGCCCTGTTTCCCATAAGTGTCAGGATGTAGGCCACAGAGAACAGCATAAAGAGGAAGATCTGAACCTCTCTGGAGCAGGGGAAACTCAGAAGTACGAATTCAGTCACTGTGCTGGCTTCTGACACATTCATGGTTTTCTAAGGGTTGGAAAGAAAGAAATCTGACAGTGGCACAGACAGTCTTGTTTTCTAAACTGCAAGGATATTTCCACCATGTTTTAAGGCCTCTAAGTTCCTCAGATTCTATTTTTCCATTATGTAAATAACATTTAAGTCTATTGCGGAGACTGTCGATCTTAGTGCTTTAAATGGTTAGTAGTATTTGTAGTGCATCTCATTCTCTTTGAGTATTGCTCACAGGCAAAGGTGATCTTATGCAGTGAGCATCTTGCAGAAGCTTGTCCTACAAGTGTTGTAAGGAGATATGAAATTCAAGCATTTGTGTCCATAGAAGTATTGACATGACCTTAATATGGAGAAGAATTTGCATTACCTGGATGTTTTGAATCAAAACAGAAATGTTAGGCATCACAGTTAAAAGGAGAGATAAGTAAAAATGGGAATGATGAGTCTGTGCATTTCAATTTCTTCTGAATCTGCATTGTATTATCAGCATTCCTGTTAAAAACCAGAAGAAAGTGTCAAATATGAAGTCTATATCCATGCTCATAATCTTCTTATGTCAGGAAAGCTTTGACCTGTCCAAATTCCTACAAAGTGGTTTTTTGATTTGGTGCAACCTTCACACGCTTGAATTATAAAGTGCTTTAAACAATTAGTGTATTATAAATTTATGATAAGTAGAAAAAATGAGCAGTGGATTTGGTATATTTTCGTTAGGAATTTTGTAGAGAGATAAGTAAAAATGGATGATGAAGTCATTACTGTTAAAAACCCCAGAAGAGACAGTGTCAAATATGAAGTCTATATCCAATTGCTCATCAATCTTCTATGTCAGGAAAGCTTTGACTGTCCAAATTCCTACAAAGTGGTTTTTGATTTGGTGCCAACCTTCACCAGCTTGATTATAAAGTGTCTTTAAAAAACTTAGTGTATATAAATTTTATTGATAAGTAGAAAAAATGAGCAGTGGATTTGGTATATTTCGTTAGGAATTTTGTCTTTGGTGCCAGGATTTGTAAAGAGGTATCTGTTCTTCTGGTTTAAGGATAACAAATGTCAAATACTCCAAAGTGGAGACCCTTGGCTGCCTAGGAGAGAGGTGGCAGCCATACGCTGTCTGGCATGGACAGGGTTCCCTCTTTTACTCCTCATCTCCTGTGTTTTTGTTTTAATTATGGGGAGGATGGTTGGAGTTTTGGGAAGTGAAGAGAGAATATTTATGAAAACATCCTTTGTTGAGTTTGACATAGTTTGGAACAGTGTCTGACTTCCTTTGTGAAAGAGGTAAACAAAACATGAAATTTGCTAAGATTCAATCGCCTATAGTTTGGTTAACATCTGATAGCTGCCGAAGGAACACAAAACACTGCCCTGAGAACCAGGGTACAGGATGCAAGGACGCAGAAGGTCATGAAGATAATAAGTGAACTCAATAAAAAATTTCATAACACACTCCAATTTCAGGCTCTTTTAAGTTGTTTGAATCTATCACTTTTTGTACAGAAGAGCTGTAAGAAATTCCGCTCTATCAGTAATTCAGAGTACCCAAGAAGCTACGAAGAGAGGGTTACCATAGAAGCTATGAGGAGAGAGTTAAAAAAAACCCCAAGAACTACTTGATAATAATTTGTGAGGATTCCAGTGAGGTCAGAATCGCAGAGGAATGGGGTCTTGCTGCTCTCCTTTCCTCATGGATGAACCTCTGCTCTTTAAAAGAACCAAGCTAAAATTAAGGGAGAGCTATGGTTCTCAGCCCTGCTCTGTTTTCTTTTTTTTTTGTTTGTTTTTTTTTTGTTGTTTTCAAATTACCAACACATCAATTTCATCAGTTCACATTACTTTTTGTTCCACATAAGCTTACATTTCTTCTGCTTGAAATAATTTTCTAGTATTTAGTTGACTAATCTTTCTATAAAAGAACCCACTTAAATATTACATACTATATGTCAAATGGTCTTACCATATGAATATTCAGAAATTGTAGTTGAGAATAATGACCTTAACAACATAAGCTACATTATTTTACTTAGGTTTCCAAATAAATTTGATGTAATAAATGCTTTAAGTGGCAAAAATCACTTAATGTGAGATTAAGGTAGACTGATAGAGAAGGTGTAAGAAGATAAGAGAAGGATGAGTGGAGAGTAAAGCGAAGTGCATAAATGGTTGTTAAATACATTAGAAATACCTCCTGAGTTTATTGACCTGTGTTCAGACTAGACTGTCCTAGGGGAACAGACAAACAGAAATAACAGAAGGAACCAGTAGGGAAGGAGGGAAGTAGAGGGATGTGATGGGAGGGGACAATGCCCAACTGTTATCTAACTTTTACCTTCTTTTCAGTCAGAATTTAGCTATGTTAAATAGTTTAACTTGCTGCCTATGTCTTTCCTCTCTTCCTCCTGACCTTAAGGTGTCCCATGGTGATTCCACCTTATAAGCAACCTGCAGACCACAAAATAATGATTAATAGTAATTTAGAAAAAAGACCTTCCTATTTGTATATCAGCTCCCCCAGTTTTTGATCAGTCCTATCTTAGAGCATGGGGAGCTGTAATGAGAAGGGTGCCCACATAAGGGTCTTGATGTCAAGTCAAGGCTGGAGACATGCTAGCTAGAGTGATCTGAGACAAATAGGCAGAGGAAATATGAGTCACAGCCTGGGAAGAATATGGTGTCGGATCATGAAAGCATTGTCATTTTGTAGAAAGAATAACACAGTTAGAAATTGAATGTGTAAACAACTTCCTCCCTTGGCATCCTATGGTAGCCACCAAATATCAGTGCCTACAAGATTTTTGCCCTCTATTCTGCAATCTGAATCATGTTTTCTAAAAGTAAATTTGAGTTTACTTCCCCACTAAAGGAAAATACATTGAATACATTCTCATGGTTCTTAGGATATGGATCAAATCCCAATGGCATCTTATAGACCTTGCATATATATTCTTCCATTTTTTTCTTGCCACTTTTAACTTTGGTTCCTACCATAAACACACATTTTTTGCACCTGTGCTTGCCCCTTTTCATGGGAACTTTGTTCTAGCTGCTTAGAACTCCTGTCTCTAAATTCTTTATCTTTATTTCTTTTTTCATCAAAAAAGGACCTCATGCTTGCTAGGCAGGTGCTCTACTACTTAAGCCACTCCATCAGCCCTTTTTTGTGTTGGAGGTTTTAGAAACAGGGTCTTGAACTGTTTGCCCCAGATTGCCATGAACTGATCTCTGCCTCCTGAGTAGCTAGGATTTCAAGCGTGAAGCACCAGTGTCTAATTGTCAATCTCCACAATCTGTCTGTTTAACTCAGGTCATAGTGATACGTTTTTGTCTACTAAATAGCTTATTTGCAGTCTGTAGGTTTCAGGTGTGTATGTGGCCCAGTCCTCATCAATCTGAGACATCCAAGCAGCTGGCCAGAGCACTTTTGTTTTTTGGTCTAAGAATGTTATGCCTCAAGGCAGGACAATGAATGTTCCTTGGGTCTTTTATTAGAAAAAAGGCTCTCTCCCTCTCCCAACCTCTTACCTCTCTTTCTGACTTCCAGACATAAGAATTTCTTATAAAATCACTGGTATTTACCTGTACTACCTTAAGAAGAATTGGGAATGAAACAAATACACAGAGAGGCAGAGCTAAGAGTGGCAACATCTTGATAGCATAATTAGGAGGATCCAATCATGCCTGAATTCAGAGACATAGCCTAGGCTTTACAAGTGCATAGCTAACTAACTCCTTTTTAAAAAGCTCTGTAAACTTTATTTATTTAGGTCTCAGCAAGTTCCACCTAAAAAGCCATTGGCAATATTGAAATAGGAACTGATTACCACAAACAAAAGGAGAAGGAATTTTCTAATCTCTGTTAAAGAATAGTAAACCAGTTGGAGATTCCTATTGAAAATCTTAGAACAGAGAGCATACAGTTATTGAAGGTTGAGTTTATCCTTTCCTACAGTGGCTCCAAAAGCATCATCTTCAGCTTTCAATATAGTATCTGAGATAATATTGCTTAATACTTCAGCACTCATTTCATGGCAAAAGAGGCATGCCCTGAGCTTCGGATTCCGAATCATTAGGCTTACCATGTACCTCCATTATCTAGCTGCATCTGGCCTGATGGCAAGACAGAATGACCATTAAAACTTAGCTAAAGCACCACTTTAAGGACACCATCGAGTTATCCGAGGAAGGTTTCTTCATCATGTGCTTTACGCACTAAATCAGTGGATGATACATGGTATCAGCCTCCTGTGTGTTCCATGTATGAAAACCATGGTGCGGAAGGATGACGTGACTGTCCTTAAGAATCCTCCAAGGGACACATTATGACATTATTCTTCATGTCCTGACAAATGTAGGTTATCCTGGGAAAAAGGCTTCGTTTTTTTTCAGTGGGGGAAATTGTTGCTTATACTGGATGATATCAATATTACACTGAACCAGATATAGTCACCTGGACACTTTAGGTCTCTCATAGTATGGGCTGAGGGACAATTGTTAGGGTATTCAACCTTAATTATCAACAAGCTTGGTTTGTACATCACAGTTGGGAAAAAGACTGTGTCTGAAGCCATAGGGATTTACAGAGTGCATCTCTGCTTCTGTGCTCAGTGATGTGTTTGTGCCAATTACAACCAAAAGGAGGCAAATCAACTGGTAGCTCAAGTAAGGAATGATAGTCAGGACTATAGTAGAATCTACTTTTCTGTGTCATGTATTTAACTGGCTTATACAGACTACCAGTAAATTTATCTGTGAGTCAAAGAATGCAGATAATATGAGTTTTTGTAATTAGAAAACTAAGTGATAATAAGGAGCATTAAACCATTTATTTATCCTTGCTGTATATAATCGATGCTTGCAAATAGTAGGGTGTCTTCATCATTATTCCTGTGGGAATAACTGCAATGCATTTATCTTGCCACTTCATGGTAAGTTACTTTTTCTACTCTTGTTTTCTTTTTTTATTATACTATTGTTGGACTCAGGGTATATTGTGACATTTACAAAAG